AAGAGGGGCAAGGTGAAGAGTAGGTGTGATGACGACACACTGAACTCGCCAAAAAAGGGCACATCTTTTGACGAGTGGAATGTAAACAAGTCAGAAATGTTGGTAGGGCGGGAGTTGGATAAGAGAGTATGGAGTAGATAGATGGGTCAGCCCAGAAAAAGGTGTGATTTTGGAACCGTTTTCGGCAGAGCGTTTGTCGGGGGATTGACTTCACTTGTCTCTTTGACGAGTTCGTAGCTTGTTGCGGGGAATGGCAAGACTCACTGATGATGCCGACTACGATGCCGGAGAAACATCTGAGAATGTACCAAGTCTGTCTGATGCTGGGAGTTATGATAACTATTATGACAGAGGACTGAGGACAATGTACCTTCAACCAAGTCCCCCTGACAACAAAACTAAGTTGCAAAAACGAGATCAACACACTTCTTTAAAAGAGAGCTCTTTCAAGGCTTATCTGCTAAGTCATCCTATCTTGACACGTTGTCTACACGACGGACAAACTTGAAGCCGTTCATCCGCTCTGTCTACTTTGCTTCGAATCTCTGCATAACGCTGCTTTCAGAACCTCTCTCAAGGGAATGGAAGTAACTTTTAAGTATTTTTGCGTAGGAGAATGGGGACCTAATTGCACTTCATCTATCCACCCTCAACTGAAGCGAATAAAGCCACAATCTTAGGCTGGACATAAAGAACAAAACAAAACATGTACCAACTTACACTCGTTCCACTCCTCTGCCACTCATGGAGAGGCCTTGATCGTTGATTGTGAGGGTCCGTTCGATCGATCGAAAATAATTCATTACGGAAAGCACCTGTCAAGAAAAATCCATGAAATAATAAATAAGTAATAAAGCAAGCAACGATAAATACTTTTAATTCATTAAAAGCTATAAAATGTACGAAAGTGATATGACGACCTTGAGATGAGGCAAGACAATGGGTTGAAAGAAAAACTATTCTGGCTACTTCACAATGCTAAGCTCTTTAAATGATGCAGCTCCATTCACATTTGTGAAATTTGTATATCAAACGGCCAAGATGTTGAGACCTCTGTTGTACGGAAGTGGTCTGACCTCAGTTTTTTAACTAGGGTCGTGTTTTCAGGGGAACCTAGTTGGATACAGCTTGTTCGAAGTCCTCTGCTTCAGTAGTTATAATAATTTCTAACGTCGACTTGGAACATTTCCAGACCTTTCGCTGACATCGTCAATGAGTATTGCCATTCTCATCACCATGCCACACTTGGTCAAAGAGACAAGCGAAATCAATCATTTGACCAACCTTCTTGCGAAGGGTTGTTGTCTCATTCCTATTTATGTTATGACACATCAACCTACTGTCTATCTTCGTGTGCCACTCGTGCCCTAGCACAAAAACCACAAAATATTACAGAAACAGGAAGACAAGTTAGCATACGAAGTAAGTGATCTAAAATGCTCTGCATGGAAATGGATACCGAAAGATTAGAAATAGTAGAACACATTGCACAGATACAACATGACATCAATTGGAAGGCAACAGAAAATAGTGCTTCGTACAGTGAAAGGGCCAGAAAAGGAAAGATTGGAGACGCCAATGACATCCTTGCTTTAAGAAAATACATGAAGAAGAAAGCGAAAAAAGACAGAATTAGTGATAAATTTGCCTAATATTTGAGCAAAATCAGAGAAAATAATAATGAGGCAAGATCAGCAAAATGGAGATGTTTGTATCACGGACTTGTCGTTAACCAGAGGAATAGAGCTTGCAAGAAAGTAGCGAAGAAGAAACATTCGATGAGTGTAGTCCAACTACAACTTCGGGGGTCTGGTGATCACAAAAATAGTGAGACTGATATTCATAACTACACATAAATTCGACATTATAGCTGAAAGTTTGGAGACAAATTGAATATAAATCCACCTGAGATGCAGCAGGAGACCAGAGGTCGGCTTTCACAATATAAAGGGGGTATTCAGACTATTCCATTTAAGCTGATCAAGGACTGGCAGTTGAATTTTCCCACATTAAAATGAGTAAACCTTACGTATCCATTGAATTTCACATAGCCTTGCCTCTAAAAGGTATTCTCATCCAAGCAGGAGGGGACTGGAGTTCCAACCTTGCTTGAACTAGTCTCATCTGCACATCCAGCAGAAATCGAACTCGGTTTGTGATGGTTTAGTATGTTATGCTGACATTTTAACCATTACGCCTAACCATTATGAGTCCCGAGTGCTCATATGTCAGAAGGAATAAGTGCATTTTAGGAAAGCCTTAGACTTCCAAACCCACCGGAACCAAATATGCGGATTAATAGTTAAAAATTCGCTGTTATTGTCGAGGAACAATAGAATCGATGTGCTACACGATACTAACATCGTTTTCACCTAAAAGCTAATCACGCACAAAAACTCAAATATACCAAATACACAAATTTCGATAATATTATTGGATAAATATATGCGAATTCTAAGACTACTTATTCATAATATAGTAGTATAGGTGGTTTTAATTTTTAAAAATACGAGTTTTTCTTCATAACATTAATTATGCTCTAGCTTGCTTTAAAAGTTAACTCTTCCTACATTGTAATATAATGGCAGTTATGACAGCATAACATGGCATTATGGGATTTTTAGTCTATTTCGTCGTAAAAATCCCATTTATCAGTCCTTACATCACCAAAACCAAACTAGGCTGTCTAGAGTGTGCTTCTAAATTCAACAGCATATTAACTTGTAAAACGCTGTACCATATGCAAGAATCGTGATTAAAAAATGGTGACTTTATTTGAATGTCTGAGCAATAGTAACTAACTTACTGTGCGTTGAAGATCGCGGAGTTTTAAATGTCTCAAATGCAGGAACGACAAGTAGGCGCCCTGGACGCTGGAAGGATCATCTTTGGCGTTGGCAGCATCATCCAAGCCCAGCATTTGCATGGCTTGCGTGAAGTCGTACTCTTCACGACGTTTTCCTTTCTCGTCAATTTCGGCGTTTGTCCTAGAAGCATAAGTTAAGTATGAGTAAGAGAGCAATTTGTGAATGGTTAATTTTCGATTCATCGGTAGGTTTTCGAGGCTACCAGTAGCTCTGCTATAAGTGCTGTATTCTCTTTATTTCGTTCAAGGTGATGGGCAAACTGTAGTAGAATTTTCCAAAACTGATATGAGTTTACATCACATTTTCACTTAATTTCGCCTAACTTTGCTTTACCAAAAGGCATTCCTTTTATTATGGAAAAGCAAGGCTATGTTAAGCTTAATGGAAATCTAAGGTCTAGTTATAATATTGTGGGAAAATTCAGCTACCAGTCCATTAACTTGAACGAAATAGGGCGAATACATCTTATAGAAATAATCTACTGGTAATCTCTAAAACCTGCTTATAAAGAAAAATCTTGTATTTTACCTTTACAATCGAATAAATTTTAGAGACTAAGAGTAAATATGGAATAAACATTGTATTCATCATAGGTAGCATAGGATGATTCTAAAAAAATGCATTATATCAGGCTTCCATCACCTGATGCAACCCAGTGTAGCTAAAATTCCTATTGAAGATTTATTGATAGTCACATAAACCTAGTTTATTCTAATATAAGTAACTTAATCGATTTCAATGGCAACATACAGGTTTGCTTTATCGATAATCCAATAATAAAAATGTGATCTGGCATAAACCTGTTCTTCCTTGGAATTAACATCTTCTTTACAAACCAAGGGCACTCTTGACAGTCTGTTGTCTAGAATATAAGTTACATTACCAAAATCCAAGATGAGATGAGGTGATATTAGATGAGAAGACTTGATATGAGATCAGATCAGATCAGATGAATTGTATTGCTATGAGGTAAGTTGAGATGAGTTGAGTTAATATGAAATAAGATTAGATCAGTTGAGATTAGATGAGAGTAAATTAAATCAGGTCAAATC